GAATGTGAACTGAACTGCATTCGAAGACTAAAGCGCATCAAGGAAAATACCTACAAACATAGGAACAAACCAGAGAGCAAAATGACAACTAAGCTATTTTCTTTGTTAGCCTCCGAGTAGAAGAAAATGAGACATTATGGCTGACAATTTTCTGAACAGTCCTCCTGCATTAGTAGAACTGCCTATCCTTGACATCACAGGCTTAAAAGAGACTATAAAGTATAACTTTATATTCTACTTTCTGTTTTAAAAGACACTGCATCCAAATATTTAATCTTTAGCTTTAAGATCACAAATACTACTTTGTGTCCCCTGTATGTTTAGGGTAAACAGCATTTCAAAAGTAGAAAATGTGAAGAGTTACTTAGTGACTTGCCCTCAAAAAAGATCTCTCTGAAGATTTTCTGTCTGAACTACAAAGCAAAAAAGGGCTGAAATAAATGTATGAATATGAGGAGGTGGCATTAAAGCTGTGCTGAAGCACAGCAAAGGCGATACCTGGACACACACTACTTTCTTCTGGAATGCTATTAGAAGATGCAATGTTATTCTGCCATTCCACGTTTGAGTGAAAACACCTGAGCAGTGGCTACCTTTCTTCTAAGTCTTGCTCAAAGGAAAAGCTACAGATCTTCAGTGAGACGAGGCACTTCATCTCCTTGAAGCTAAACGCTACTGCCAACATCCTTGTTCCAGAAATTAGGATTTACGAAATCCAGACTCTTTTGGATGCAAAGTAACCTCAAGTTAGTGTGGTAACCGTACAAGGAAACTTAACCAAAATGCTACATGTTATAATGGGATGTTTAGATTATTATATTCTAACACGCAAAAGGCAGTTTGATGGTCCTATCAACATCATTCATTTACACTGTACTGTTTTCCTACTGAGTAAAAAAACTAAAAGATTTTGTCATACTCTAAACTTACCCACCACCAGTGCCTCCATTTTTGCTGAAATGTGTACGAGGCTCACTTGATGCCAGTTTAAGCAGTTCATTCCACTCCCGTTCCCATTCTTCTTCTGTATACACTAAACCTGACTATGGGAGAGAATGAAATATTTTTACAATTATGCTGGTACAAAATGCAAGCTGAGTTCTGTAGCAGAATTTACAACTAACTTGTTTTGAACTTCATTCATGATAAGGTTTAGTATCTTGGACCACTAATATGAAATAATAGTAACTTATTAAAAAAAGCTCTAAACCACTAACTGTATACTGGATTACATCTCTAGACGTGGGTCTGCTCCTGCCAACACAGTGCTCCACTACTGGAGATCCAGTTATTCACACCCATGTGAATTCCTTGCAACCGTTTAGCATGCTTTATGGCCCATTTCTTGAGGTTTGCTTTCTTCCCCAGTATCTGGAACTATGAATGCCCTCCTTGTCAGACAGGTGATGCTTTCTCCCTCTGTTCAAGAGCAGAGAGGGTATATAAGTGCTTCTGTGCCCCTGTGTTTTCAGGTAGCCTGAAGTTGCTGAGTCAGTCACAGCTCAGCTGTATTCGCCCTGACTGCTGCCAACAAAAAGCAGATTACAAGTCACAAACATTTAAGCTTAGTCACTTGCTTGCATTCAGGATTACTCCTAAAACTGGCTTTTCTAGCCACTGTTTAGGCACAGACATCTTCAGAAAATAATACATGCTGAAATACAGCTTTTAATCAACACTCAAACCAAACCTACAGATGTTTTCAGTTAAGAAACATCCACTCAATATTTGGTCATGGCTCTAAGAATCCTAATTCACCATTCTGGCGAATCTCTCCTAAATGGGGTTTTCTTTCTTTTGGGGATTTCATCCACTCATTTTATAATGCCTGCGATTGCTAAATTATGTATTTAATTTTGCAGCCCAAAATTTTCTACAGGTTCCAAACTCATCTTAGACCTTTGTAGGCACAAAACTGTGCATATTTATGCCCACAAAGCTACAAACATTTGCATTCCAATACAAAAATTCTAAATACAAGTATCTCTTTCCCCATGCAAAATGGAAGCACAAGGAATTTGATAGCAATTAAAACTTTCACACCAAACTTCAGAAGAATGCTTTTGACCCTAAATGATATTAACAAGACTGTCCTCAGGCCATACAGACCTCCTTATTCTGTTGGGTCTGTTGCCACCTCCACCTTCTTTTCAGTGCTTCCCTTTCAGCTCCACTTCTCATCATAGTATAGAGTGCTTTACGTAAGACAAGGTCCCGGTCATGAAATCCCCACATCCCTAAAGCAGCACACGACAACATCAGTTTTAAAGAAGCTAAAGTGAAACAGAAATGGTAAGTACTAATACAATTAACACTGCTTTATTCACAAAAGAAGCATATCTTATACATTATTTAAGATTCTCCTTAGCAAATAAGACACTATTTTTAAGGTTTCCCAAAGAAAGAGTCAATATAGATAAGCTAATGAGCAACAAGAGGGAATTCTAACAAAGTTTAAACTTTGATGAAGGAATAACTAAGGTTTTGAGTAGTTTCAGTGTTTGCTTGCAGAGAACTTCAACTTTGCTGCAACCGATGGAATATGCAATGCACAGGTTGGTTTTAGCTGTAGTTGCCAACAGATCTTGCAGACACAAGAACGCTCCTGACAACTGCAAGCACTTTTGTGAATCGCAGATGATACCGACACCCAAAGGCCTCCAACTCTTACACAGCATGATGGTAAACTTCCTTTGGCTTCAACATCCAAATAAAGAGACAAGCTTTCAAGATGATCGGAAGTCTAAAAACACAGCCAGCCATGGGCTTTCAACCTCATTTTAAGATAATAAAACATCTTCACGGAGTTGAGAATAGTAACCTACAACAAGAGAGCAGAGCTCTCACCAAGACACGTGCCCACAGACAGCCACATTTCAGTTACCATATTGTCAGCTGCTGGCACTAAATATGTTTATTTAAGACTTCGCAAGTCAAAATGCTCCAAACATTTGCTGTAAAAGATACACAATTCCTCCTAGTTAAAAATGAAGTGGACAAAGATAAAAAGATCCCTTGAAACAGCAAAAGCTCTTTTCTTACTACTTCTTTCAAAAAGAGTAGTCTCTTCAAAATATTAAAAATCCCAGTGTCTTTTAAAAAGTCACCTTTTGGAGTTCTGTTGGTGGAAGATTTTAACAACTGCAAAAAAAAAAGTTTCCTCATAATAGGTTAGGATATAGAAGCCATATGAAAGACAAAAACCAGCTTCACAGGTTTCTACTTATTTAACTTGAAGAAAGAATTCAAAGATCTTGTATTAATGATTAATTAAGCAATTGGAAATCATTTTAATTCACCTCAAACCCAGGAACCAACAGAGATAACATCTAGTTATTGCATTCGCGAAGACAGCAAGAGAACTGTTTAACAAAAGCCATAGAATGAATGCAATTCCTCGCCCACAATGAGGACAATCCAGAAACAACTGGAATTTGCTTCTTCCAGAGCTGTTAGATTGGGCTCTGTAAGGAAAATGCAAATCACTGGTGTTTACGATACACAGGTGTTGATACTGTTCCAAATACACTTCTTTTATAACCTTCCTCCCTCAAGCATGCCTAAAGAAAACAATACTCAAGTGAAATTTGAAGTATATGTTGCTCCAGAACCAGGCTTCTAATGAAAGTCTTTGCATCTCATGTGCTGGGGATAGAGAAAAGTGGTAAGTATTTTTCATAGAAGATTTCATACACAGACTTTCCCTTACCTAAAGACGCAGCATGCAAGAGGCAGTTTCCATCACCTGTTGTAGCCAAGGGAAGAAGACGTTTGCAGCTTGTACACACTGTGGACCACCAATTCAGTCGTCCTGAAAAGAAAGCATCTTTTAAATGGTGGAGTAGATACTAAAACAGGGTGAGCACTGTGTACAGGCACATAGCGATGACATGTCATGTTGACAGTCAATCTGTCTACCAAATAAACTTGCAAGTAATGTCAGAAGTGAAAACTGAGCAGATTAGAAGTAACAGGCAGACAAACTTTAACTATTCTCTAAAGGTATTTGGAATAAGAAGAGAGCACCTTTAATTAATTTGCGTCTTCCATTCTCATATGTTGCATTCAGGGATGGATTCCAAGGAGGTCATTGTATAAATACCATTATGAGTCTTGGTATCAGTTCCCAAACATAATTGACATTGGCCTCCCATTCACAATGATAGATTATGTTACAGTGATAAAGTCTCAAAAGACAAAAGCAATATGTATGTGTTAATCAAGATATGCTACTGTTACGTTGGTTTATTAGGTACTATTGTTTCAATCAGATGGGTTGTTTCAACAGCTTGTTTTCCTCTCATTTACCATAATGTAAACCATGATTAGACCTACTGAAATCCAAGCAGCTACACTATCAGAGAACTGAAATGAGACCAAGTGCATAGCCCAAGGCGTAGGTTAGCATGTGGCTCTTCTCTTGGAGAACATCTGGAGAACCACTTATCCATAACTGCTATGTGAAGCATGTTTACAGATTATGAAACAAAGATGGGTTATGAAAAAGACTGACAAGAGGACAGATATTTGATGTATCTAGGTGAAGCAAATAAGCCATGAAGAGTACCAGTGCCAAAGCCAACACCGGTAGTACGTAATTCCTGGCACACAGATTGCCATGTGGCAGCTTACTGCAATGTTAACTCTGGGTCACGTGAACATCTCTAATACGAAGAAAGAGAACGTGACTAATTGTATAACATCTTTGGGGATGAGGAAGAGGAGATGACTAACAACGATGAGCAGAGCCAGTATATTTCCCAAGGCTTCTGGGATGTCTGTGGGTAACGCACAATTGAATAACTGAATGAATAATACAACAGGCAGCCTGTGGTGACTCCATTTCTTTGTTTGTCCTCTTCTGCAGATGTTTTCTCCCCCGATTCCTTTACTTGCAAGCTGAGAGGAAATAGTATCTGTATATTTGTACAGTCAGTCTTGCACTGAAAAAAAATTCTCCGTTAATATGTTTTCATTACAAAATTATACTGAAGTTTATTTGTAACAGCAGGCAATACATACTGTGCAAAAATACAGTATAATGATATTTTAACATGCGCCCCCAATTACTTGTTCTGGATTCTAAGAACTACGTTATTAAATTTCAATTAATATGGGTTGAGAGTTAGTATACTGTAAAGGGAAACAGGCACAGCAGATCAATAACTAAACACATTTGGTAACTCTCCTATAATTTTAGCAGCTAGTCTGTAAATGCCCAACATCTCAGACTAGGCTTACTGAGTTCTAAATTAAATATGCATTAAAGAAGCTTAATTTAAAGTGCTATTGGACAGCCTTTGGGAAAGAAAAATCTGAAATAACAAGTTACCATTTTTAGCAACTCCTGTGTCTGTGGGCTGTGAAATAACAACTTGGCATCTGTTTTTTTGCAGAATGTTTTGTTGGTATCATATTCAGTAGTAAGTTATACCAAGGTGCTGCTTAAAGCATAGTTACAAGATCTAAAACAGACAGACCTGAGGACATAAGAGAATAATATTGCTTTGCAGATTAACTAGCAGCTATTGGCAATAAATGTCAAAGTCTGGTGTTTACGAACCTGTTGAACAACAGGAGGTTTCTGTAAAAGTGATCTGCTTTCAAGTAGATTACGCAAAAAATGTTTGTAGGCTTGGTTAACGTCACAAAGCTTATGGCTGACTAAAAATTAGCATAAATGCATTGGATTATAACAAAAAAAGCGGTGCACTTTCATTTTTCAAATCTAGTGGCTATAGTGGATCCCTTTAAGGAAACAGGAAAGTGGAGCTTAAATGAAAAACAGGAAACAGTTTTGCCTCAGGCTTATTTCTGTCTCCCTTGCTAAGACAATATTTATGGACAAATTAGACCCATTTCTCGCTCTCCCTCCCTCTGTTGGTCTCCTACTCGATCTTGCTTTTTACTTTCTCACAAAATCTATTTAATCCCAAAAAACACAATTTCAAGAAACTGATCTGTTGTTTTACAGCAAAAAATACTCTGAGAATTAATATAGCCATATTCTAGTACATTAAAATTTGATCTCAATTTTAGATCAAGATTAAAAGTCCTGTCCAGGTCTATGATCTAGCAAATACAATCAGAAAGGCAGAGACAAGCACACAATGTTGCCCTTTCTTTGCACGATCCGCAAGACTTCAGGTGCAAACTCAAAAGAAATGTTAACAGAATCCAGTATCCTCTGTGGCTGAAGATTGCCGACTATTTCTGTATTCTAATATCACCCCAGTCCTGCACCACGTAGCGAGTATCAGGCTTCACATAATACAAAGCATCTATTGGCTCCCCCCGCTCCCTTACTTGCAGGGCCCAACAAGAATCAATCATTCTGATACAGAACCAGATATCTATCTTGTGTTCCAGGCAAAGAAGGTAAGCTGAATCTCAGAGAAAGTTGATGGTGGAGTACTTATAATAGGCACTAGAAAGGTTTAAGTGTTATTTTCATAAGCCTCCATATTGCATGACAAGCCAGAGATGTACTGTTTCTTGCCACAGGATTTATGAGAGGAAATGGTCAAAGAGGATTCTAGATGGTTACGTGACCTGAATGGCTCAAAAAGGTGGCAGCAGAGATTAGAGAAAGCATTTCAAGGATTAACAGGGGCCAGGCTTGGCTCTTGACATCAGTCCCTGATGCCTCAGGCACTGGTACCATAGAAGGTAGGAAAGCACTCAGCATGCCGTCCTCTCCGCAAAACTCCGTTAGCGGTATAAACAAGATAAGAATACGCAACAGAAATTATTCTAGTTTGTGACTATCCCACAAAGATGCTCATAGAAAGCTGCCCTCGAGTTTATGAAGGTCCATTATGAAGTATTCATTGCCCGAACATGATCAAGGTTGGTGGCAGCCACACAAACCAACCAAATTCGAAACAAACACGAGGTTACATAATACTGAAGAACCTTTGTAGAAACTCTGCATAAATCCTTTGCTCCCTCTTCAGTTTCTCCAGTCCACATTTTCTTTTTTTTCTGGTTTAAGCTACTAATAAACTAAATGGGTTTACAGAACTGGGATTTTTCTGGTAGAATTAACACCAAAAAGTTACAAGGCCTTAGCAAATAGCAAGCATATATAACTCTCTCTTAACAAGGGAAAAGGAGATGCTACAAAGGATGAGCCCCCTCTCAAGCTCTCTATGATTTCAGTGTGGTTGAAGTTTCACTGCAAAGCTAGATTGCATATCACTGCCTCCAAGGCAAACAGTCAGTTTCTTGCCTGCAATGCCACTGTGCATTTCTTGTATCAAAAATAAGTCATAATTCTTACCAAAAAAATGGAGTACACGTTATGAGAAAACCAAGGAAGGTTAAAGATGGGAAAAAGTGTGAAGTGTCATGTCACAGCTTGTACAACTTCACCTCAGACTGAGTGCGATTGTCTTTTAACGCACTTCACGGTGCTATCAGCAGTACTCTTTCAGACAGCTGAAACCAACTCCCCAAAACCACTGACAGAGTAGACAGCTCACTGAGGAAAACAGGCCGACCTGTGCACAGTGGGACTCAATGTCTGGTTTCCTGCGCTTGTCATACGTGTGGCTAAAGGACAGACTGCTGATGGCTCTTCTATTATTTGTGGTTGGGCATTCTGGAGGGCTTTCCCATACGGATTCTGTAGCATTTAATAAACAGTATTTACCTTGCAAGTTTTTCTTCTATGGAAATACTAAAAATAAGCTAGCTGCTTATTTTCATGAAACTTGTAAAAGCTTACTCACGAGTATCTTTGAAATTGGCAGAGTTAAATTTAAAAAATAAACAGTGGTACAATCTTAAGAGACAGCTTGCTGACACAAGCTCAGTTTCCTTAGAAACTAGGCTAAAACCAGCATTTCTTTCATTTCTCCAGCACGTCATACGTCCAGAAATCCACCTCTCATCCATCTCCCAAGACGAGCAAGTCACAAAATAACATTTTGCACTTCCAAAGCAAGTCTACTTCTGGACACCCCATCTCTCTCAAATGCAATGGCTCACCCTGAACACTCACCACCTCCCCTCTGGAATCCAGCAGCTCTGGCGTGTGCACAGGACGGCCCAGCTCAGTCAACAGAGCATTACTTGGCCCACTCAGAACAGTCAGACAATCAGCAGTAGGTGCAGGAACCTCAAATCCAGATTTCAGCAGAGCTACTTCTACACTTTACGTGTTTCTTACATGACTAGCTAAGAGGATTATTTCGTTTATTTTTAGTTTCAGTCCTTCCATACCATAAACGTGTACTTGCAAGTATTGACGTGAACAAAACGACAACAGATTTTCTACATGGGCTTACGTTAATCATTCAGTGACTGCTTACTTTTTAAAATAAGTGAATAAATAAAGCATTTACCAATACATTTTCTATACTTCAAAGAAAGGACCTTCTTTTGGGAGCTCTCTCTTTTAGTCTAGATGATGAAATCAGCCTCGCAGTAGCATCTGCAAGGCTATTCATATTTACTGATGTCCTTGAAATGTAATGTTGAGCTGTGCATGTAGAAATAAGTAAAACTGAGCAATCAAGTAAATGCTTCTCTCTTAGGCTGATGCATAAGCAACACTGTCACAAAAGCTACTGACAAGAATGCAAATCAAAGATCATAAAATAAGATGGCACAGAAATATATGACTAAGCCCAACTGGCTGGAGATAGCTGATACCGAGTTCAGTTATCTGCAGGTAACTGCGGATCTGGTATTACCGATTTTCTTCATGTTTTTTCTTCATAATCCAAGACAGATGGTTTTCTATGACACTACTGCATTTCATCCCACTCTGTGATACAATATCTGTCATTCATATTAGAACCGAATTACACAAACACGCATTTCAAAGCTTGGAAATCAGGAAATTAATACAGTTCTCCTGTAATTATGGTTGCTATCCCAGCACCCTGCATATACCGTATGAAAAGCTGTTAAAAATTCTGGGATAAGAAAATGTTTCTACAACCTCAAAAGGCACCAGTTTTTCTTTAACAAAGCTTAATTTTCAGCAGTTTGAAATCAAACATTTCCAGAATTCTGGTGCGTTTTTGTGGATGTGAAACCCAGGCTTAACAACATACTACTGTTTATTTTCCCTGTAGCTGTATAAAATGCTTCCTAGAAAACAGAAATCTGAGCACAGAAAGAAAAGCGCAGGAAAGCAATATTCTTGAAAGTTCACACAGTTTACTTCTAATTTTTGTATTGAATTATATTTCAGCACTGCAATAGAAACTTTTTTTCTTTTAATTAAAGATATTGTGAGAGACCTATACTACGGGTTTTTGAACCGTACAGTACAGCAGAACTAGTTTTGATAATATGTCTCTGTGTCAGCCTACGCGGTAATCGTACATGGGGAACAGGCATATATAATGAAAATCAATTTGCTGCAGCAAAATATTTAGAATTATAAAATTCCTTTCACACAGATTTAATTTAATACTATCAGTATCTGAGCCATCCTCTGTTGAAGAGCCACACTGATTACTGCAGGAGCACTCAGAGATCTGCACATTAGTTACAGGCTGACCTCATTCCAATTCAGGCAATAACAAACAGCCGAGTTTAAGATGCACCAGCCCCCAAAACACTTTTATGAATGTGGTGAATTTTATCCTCCAAGAGAAACATTCAGAAAGCAATCCCACAAAGAGCAGAAGATACAGAGCAGCAGCAGAAGGTGAGTAAATCATACTGCCTTTATCTGGGCCTTTCCTTTATAACCTCACACAGCAATTTTGAGTAAATCAGGAATTTGGCTCTGAGTTTCTATACAGTAGGATGTAACCTGAACATCTTTTCACACATAGATGTAATGGTAGCAAGTGCCTAAGCATATAGAAAGAGAATATAAAAACCTCACAGATATATATATCCAGCTCATACATCTACTTCAGGCAACACGTGCAACAGTCTATTAATAGTAATTTTGCTCTCAGTCTGTGCTTTGTGAGTGGTAAGCTGCTCTATGTTCCTAACAAAGTTCCTCCTCCCACCCTGCTCCTTTCTCTTGAAATTCATGCCCTTAAACCCAAACACACACCCCTCTCTTTTCCTTTAACAATATCCCCAACCTCAGCTACAGAAGCTACTGCCCTTTGTGGGGTTTGTTTGGTTCAAATAGATTTTAGGCTCTTTGCGGCACATGCACCTTATCTGTTAATTTTTTTATGTCATTGACCAAACCATAGTGAAACTGGGCCCTGCTGGTACGAGACAATAAAAGGTCTAACAGTAAGTGACTTTCCTATTAATTCACTCTCTATTTCAGACAACAATATGTCTAAAATAGGCAGGAAATAAAAGGAAAGTGAATATGTTTAAGTCTTAAATAGAGACAAAAGGTCAGTTTACATGAAGCCTTAACACAATTTTCTTAAACATTCACCATTTGATCTGTTTAACTCACTTGAACTGAAGAACTGTTTCCCAGGAAGTTCCAGTTTATTTGAATGAAATGCTCACATAAGTAAACTAAGTCTACGTAGGCTACAACACCTGCAGTCAAAACCACAAGCACTTCAAATGGTGAAAACACCCTCCTTTCCAGGATGAAAGGAGCTCTGGAGAGGAAAGGACTTTTCCAGTGCGAGTCAAGTTATTGCCCTAATTAAAGTAACGTGAAGAAAAGAATAAATTATTTATTCTAATTTTCAGAGAGACTTGAGAGAGGAATACTAAGAAGCAGCAAATTCAGTGGTTTCTGCAGCCCTATTTCAAGTTCAAAGCCAGCCAGCTCTGTACGAATTAAAAGATGTCAGCTCTAAATTCACATGTTCTCTGACTTTAAGGTCAGAAAACCACTGTGATCCTCTAGTTTGTACTCTTGAATTAACTGATTCTGAAGGCTGTAATTCCACTGAAGAGGGTAGGTAAACAATCATACTGTAGCAAGCTGTCTTCTGATAGCCCTATGGAATCTGGAGTGCTTGGCAGAGCTGCCAGAGGAATAGCCATCCTGTTTCTTCCCTGTCCTCCTCCTGTGTTAGCTGGTTCCTACAGAAACTATAGATACCTTCTTGACAGGGGACTGACAG